AATTTACTGCATTGGGGTGTGATTAATTCAAGGTGAGGGCTGAAGAAGCCTAAGCCAACTTGGGTCTGAACTCTCCATTCCTAAAGATGGCAGAATAGCAGGACGACGATGAGCTACATCCCTCTGGGCAGCAGGGAAATCATTCTAATTTCCATGTTCAAATTCCCATCCTCATCTGCCCTGGGTTCTCTGGCAGCCTTCCCTTTGGCTATCATGTCTTCCTGGATGTCAAACTGGCTCCTCTGAAACTGAGTGCAATCAAGACAATGACAACCAGGTTTCCAAACTGCAAATTGCCCCAAGTTTTATTTGTAGTCCATACAAAAGGGAAAAAAAAATTAAGTTTTTCTAACACCACCTACTTGGGGAGATAGGGAAGTGGGACTGTGCGGCTCAGCATCAGCTAGAACATCAGGGGTCAGTAGGAATCTTGACATATACCAACTGACCGTCCCAACAGGAACTCAGTCTCAACACAGTCTAGAGGGACAGTCAGGGTCCCCTGGACTGCTGGCACAGCTTGGCGCATAGGAAATGGTTAAGCTAACCCTTTCCTGGCCTCCCTCATATCTAAAAAGAAAAAGGCGCCGCCGACCTCAGCTGCAGGTTGCTTCCCCATCCAGACGACCTTAAATATCGCGCACAAAAATAAAAGGGAGCCAGGAAAAAATAAAAACATAAAAGAAATTCCCATCCTAGGGAGATGGGAGGCAGGGGAGAGGGGAAACCGCAGATCTAAAGCCAGTAGCAAGATTTGCTGCTGAGGCGAAGGAACAAAGTAGGTTACTGCCAAACACTCAAAAGGATCGTCTCCTGGGGAAGGCCCACATGGCAGAGGGGATGAAAAACCGCAAATGGGAGGGGTATGGGCCAGTGGTTATAACCTGGGTCTGCACCCTACCCTACACTTCTCTCCTTCCCTCCCTGTGGTGCCCCATCCCAGGATGGCCCTACATGCGGCGCTGGTAGCCTGAGTGCATCTGAGCTGCCCGCAGGTAATCATTATAGGAGCCCGAATAGCGTGCGTAATCGGAATGGGCATCGGGCAGGCGACGGTAATCCAGCGAGGACTTTGTCGGCGAGCGGCGGAACGAAAGCTGCGACTCTGATAAACGGCGGTAATCAGAGAGCTCGGCTAAACGCCGGTCGGAACCATACCTAGTCGAGAGAAGAAGACAGTTGGTGAATGAGACAATTGAGGAGAGGGCTCCAGGTGGGCATGGGGGCGATGCCAATGGGGATAGGGAGGGTGTGATCACACTGGATTCCAACAAACAAGATTTTGTCAGAAGGCTCATCACTCTCCAGGGCAAGAAATCAAGCCTGGTTCAACTCAGTGGGAAACAAGCCCGCCACTGAAGCTCTCCCTTTGAACTGGACAAGGTGGATTTTGGTCTACATTCCCAAACCACAAACTATTCCCACCCTGGGCCCTGCACAGAAAGACCGTAGTTGTTTATCAACAGAACGGCGAACGAAAGCAAGGTCCCCAACTTCCCACAGAGTGGACGCACCTCATACGCCTTGCCTTCAGCTAATGAGTGCCAAAAGGACTACTCTTTCAAACCTACCCCCACCAAAGCCAGGACAACCACATGACAGGCTTAAGGATCCTACAGACAGTGGGAAAGGCTATAGGCCACAATCCTGCAGGCAGTAGCTCCAATGGCAATTGAGCTAGCCTAGACATGTGACACTTTTCCCAGCCTGACTAGCTGGTACCACCCCAGGCTGAGCACTAGGCTCCACCTGAACCCTGGTGACCAGGAAAGTTCACACACATCATCCCCCTCAGCCTTTGGACATCCCATGGGAATAGAGAAGACCAAGGGAGAAGCCAATGGCTCATTTCCCTCCCATGCCAACCTCAGCCCCTTGCCCTAAGCCCCAGCTGGGGGCAGAGGCGGGAGGGGCATACAGTACCTTTTCGACATGGCGACAGCCTTTTTGTAGGGATCGTCGTAGCTGGCCCGGGGTGGGGAGAGGCGGGTACGCTCATAGGGTGGCGGGGTGCTGTTGGCGTTGGCAACGGCCCCCTGGGACATGGACAGGTAGGCTGCAGACGGCTGACCTGCCCCATCGTAGGCATTGCCCGGCTGGCCACGGTAGGAGGCAGCAGCCTGGGGATGCTGCTGGGCAGCATAAGAAGCAGCCAATGAGGCTGATGACTGAGTGCGGTAAGGAGCTGCCAGGGTGGCAGAAGGCTGGGCCCCGTAGGCAGCTGCGGCACCATAGGAGCCAGTGGCCGCAGCAGCTGACTGAGCCCCATAGGAGCCTGATAGGCCCATAGATGCTTGAGCCCCATAACTATTCAGCTGGGTCTGAACAACCGGCTGGGCCCCATAGGACCCAGCCATTGGGGTAGTGGCTTGTGCAGCGTAGGCAGCTGGCTGGCTGGCATAGGCAGCAGCTGTACCTGGCTGTGCCACGTAGGCAGCAGGCTGGGAAGAGTAGGAAGCAGCCTGTTGTGCAGCATATGGAGCAGACTGGGCATTGTAAGAGGCTGAGGGCTGGGCATTGTAAGAAGCTGCCTGGGCCCCATAAGCCAGTGAGGAGGCTGCAGACTGGGCCCCATAGGAGGCTGCCTGGGCCCCATAGGAGCCTAGGGAGGAAGCTGCTCCCTGGGTGTTGTAGGAGGCAGCCGCACGGACCCCATAGGAAGAAGCAGCCTGTGCGCCGTAAGAGGATGGCTGGTTACCATAGGAGGCCAGGGAGGAGCCCTGAGCCCCATAGGAGTTGAGTGAGGAAGCTGCAGCGGGCTGACCCCCATAGGAGGAAAGGGCTGAGGGCTGGGCTCCACCATATGGGCCAAGCGAGGAAGCTGCGGCCGATTGGGAGCTAGGGCTGGCCAACTGGCCCCTGTATGGGGCCCCAAGGGAGACAGAGGGCTGAGCGCGGTAAGAGGCTGCCTGGGCTGTCATGGGCTGAGTCCGATAGCCGACACCTAAAGAGGCAGAAGGCTGAGCCCTGTAGGCAGCTCCCAGCGACACTGAGGGCTGGGCCCTGTAGGTGGCTGGCTGGGCCGTCAGAGGAGCCACATAAGAGGCTCGGGGAGGTGAACGGCGCAGGGGGCTGCGGTCGCGACCAAAGAAAGGTGGTGTGGGCTGCCGGGCTTGCCCATCAAAGCCACCAGTGCTGTTGCCAAAAGCCTGCTGGTAGTCGAAGGTGGCAGAGAAGCCACCAGCTCCAGGGAATGCCGTATCCCCAGCCCCTGGTTTCTTGGTCTTGTCCCCAGACTGGATAGCCAGGCCAGGCCCCTTCTTCTGACCCTTGGTTGAGAGTTCCACGTTGATGCGCTTGCCCTTCACTTCTTTGCCGTTGAGCTGCGCGATGGCGGCTTTGGCATCTGCTTCCTTCTCCATGTGAACAAACGCGTAGTCTGATAAAGCAGCAGACAGAGGGTTAGCAATTAGGGGGGCATGGCATGCTACCCAATGGGTCCCAAATTGGACACACCAACAGCACCCAGCTGTTGCCAACTACCTCCAGGCCTCCAAACCCTCCTCTCCAGGAGTTATGTCATAAAATGTGGCTCCCATATAACAAAGCTTCTGACTGTCCCAAGCAGCCACCTTTACCTGTGGCCTACTCCCCATTCTCCCCTTTACCCCTGCCACCTCACCCAACTTCCTGGTGAGAGAAGAAAGAGCAAAGATGAACTGCAACACAGGATAAAAATCTTCACAGCTCCTGTAAGTATAAACCAGCAGACAAAACGCAGAAAGGGTGCCTGGATCACTCAATTATTCAGTATTCTCTAACCCAAAATCACCAACCACTACAGCTCACCTTTGAGGTTTAACTTTCAAACACTAGAAATGACCACATATGTCTTGGCAAGACTCATGTCTCAGCCTAGGGTCCAATTAAAGCAAAAGAGCTAGACTGCAATGCACAATGCATGAAATTCTTCCAATATGATCTACCCTTTTCCCACAGGAATTTAGTTTCCAAAGCACTTTCAAGCATAGTACCTCACAACAAACCTGTGAGGTAGGCAGAGCAAAGGATCATTCTCCCCATTTTACAGGAGGGCAAACATGCTCAGAAAATGTATATGGCTGGCCCCAAATCAAAATGTGTTAAAAGCCATGAACAGAATCCCAGCTCTCCATGTCATTCACTACACCAGGCTATTCCCAAGAAGTCAATGTCAATGTATAAGGCAGGACTGTATAATATGACTAGAAAGGAGAGCAGCTAGATCCCATGTAAGCCAATGAGGTATGGGAATGCAAACTGAGCCTCCTGGGTGAGAGTTCAGGGCGAAGAAGTCTCCTCCCACAGGCTACATTATATCCTCCACTGGTTCCCCTTCAAGGGGCAAAGGTATTCCTTACCCCTTGGGCTCCTGTTCAGAGTAGAACTTTTACAGGAAAGATATGGTTTCTCAGCTTCAATCAGGCTCTGCTAAACAGACTACCCCTGAGGTCCTCATTCAGGACCTGAATGAGCTTATCTGATGGGATAAGTTCTAAGATAGGATGTTGATCTCAAAGACCTATAAATCTACCACATAGAAAGAAAGTTTTAGGAGGGAAAGGAATGGGAAGAAATTCTTTTATCATATCCAAACTCACAAAACTATAGTAGTGCAAGCAGGATATGAAGAACAATGATAAGATCGTGCTTGTGGGAAATAAGGTCATGCACTTAACTCCTTCTGGATCTATGGCTACTTTAAGATACAGTCCAAGTACCAGGACACCATCTCTCTCACATCAATTTAGGAAATGAAGAACTCCCTGAATTAAATTACTAAGGTTCCATTCTTAAAGACAGGAATTCCTTTTAATGGCCTCTAAATAAGTGTCCTAATTTCTAGAAACTTTCATACTGGGATGCCCTCTCTTGCTGCTCCTATAGAGCAAGTCATTTTCCTGGATCTAAGGCAATGCCACCAACTAACTCCCATACCAATAAGAATAAAAATTTAATCAACAGGTAGAAGTCAGAAGTATGGTACAGCACAAAGAATCCTGGGCTAGTAACAGGTCCAAATATCACTGATTTGCTATAAGCTCTTAAGGAACTTATAATTTATTTCTCTCCCTGATAAATCTGTCCTACCTACCTCAGTGTTAGGAAATTCAAATGAGAAGGAAAAAGTGCCTTGTTAAGATAACTCTATGATACAGAATTATGATTATTCAAGCCCAGGAACAGAGAAATAGGCTTATTTCTCTACAGAGTATTATCTTTCATCTCTAATAAAACACGAGAGATACAATGCCATCTGTGCATGCAAACTTGAAACCGGCCAGAAATGATAAAAGAACAAACTGAACGATTACAACTGTCAGTCCTCACATCTCCATGGCCAGAACCTGATTCCTTTCTACCAATTATGAAAAGCAAAAGTGTTCCTTTCCAGCCCTGACAGGGTGGCTCAGTTGACTGGAGCATCATCCCATACATCAAATGGCTGCGGGTTCTATTCACAGTGAGGGCAAATACCTAGGTTGCCAGTTCAATCCCCAGTTGGGGCTCATGCAAATTACAACCAATCTATGTTTCTCTCTCACATAGATGTCTCTCTCTCTCCCTCCCTCCTTCTAAACTCAATAAAAACATCCTCAGGTGAGATTTTTTTTTTAAGTATTCCTTTTGGTCTAGCCACAGGACACCATTAAAACTGTCCTCTGATCTCTCACCTCCACTTTGGGTAGAGTGGGCTAAAAATAGATGCTGATGGTTGGAGATCTCTTTAAAAGCAGAGGGTGAGCTGACCCTCAGAATAGCAAAACCAACTGGAGAATGCAATGGCAAGCAGAAAGCAGGAGATTAAGGGGAACAGGAAAAAAACCTCCATGCACAGTGAGGGAATAGTAAAGACCCACTCTATATTCCCAGCTAACCTGAGACTAAAATGAGCTAGGAAAAAAACCTCAACAAAAAAATTTTAATGGGTTTACAAGAGCAAAAGAATATTCCATTGTCCACTCCCTACTTAGCTAGATTTTCTTAAGAGACCAAGTTATGAAATTTGAAAATTGAGATTTCACATATACAATTCAATTGACCACCCACCTGAACTATACAACTGATTTTTAAAAAGTCATCAGGTACAATTATAACCAGTTTATATCAGAAGTTTCCTAAGCCCGATATTGGAGGGAATAGGGTATCCAGCTGACTCAATCATATCAGGCAAACTAATCCTGTCAGTGAACAACCAAGCACAGGCCTAACCCTATCAAAGATTCTGGGAACCCAACTACTCAAACAATAAAGAAAAAACAGAGACCTAGAAAACTCCAGAGACCCATCTACTTGGAGAGCTAGTTCAAGAAACAGTGGCCTCAAGGAAATCCACTGCATTTAAAGGGACTAGCAAGCAGTATTTTACAGAGATCTCCTATATGTCTGGTGGCATTACAATTCCTCCAGTACCAAGTTAAGAGAATACAGAAAAATGAGTTTTCTTATTCTGAGAAGAGTAAAAATCTCTAACCTGAAACTACAGAACTGTATATAGGAGAAAAGAATGGCCACCCACAAAAAAAAAAAAAAGGAGAGGAAACAAGTTTCCTATTCTGCCTTTCAGACCTCTCCTGAAAGTCTAAATGGTTCCTAGCTGTCAGGGACTCTTACTTCATCTTTGAACACCCAATAGAAAGTTGCTATGAAGAGTGGTTATAATCCACTGTTGCTATGAAGATATTTACTCTACAAATCAAATCATATCTAAGCTCCTAGGGTAACCAAGCAACTATGTTTTTTACCCTGTAAAATAAAACAGAACTGGTTGTCCTGTGCTATGTCAAGCTTCTGTGTTTTTCCAAGGTCTGACAGCCAACACAAGATTCGATAAAATTCCCATTCCCAGTCCAAGAAATAACTAAGCTACTTATAGAGCCAGAGCTAGTTTCTTCTATTACATTCCCAACTTAAAAACCTCACCTTCCTTCATCCCAAAGACACAGAAAGGCATCAGTAAAAGATATGATGCTCAAATCTCTCCCACAGTCCCTTACATCAAAGTATATCAGAAGCTCTGTTACATATCAGTATAACTACAAATAACAGCTGACCACCTCTCTCTGAGAAAATTAAGGCATTTCTGCTAATCAAATGTCTACAAAGGGACAAACCGCACAAAACTTTCATTCTAAAGCCAAGAGTTCTAAAAAACGCATGCAGTTAGACACTTCACCCTGCCCTCCACTGCCACTTAGTGTCTGTCCCAAGCAAATTCAGATTTTCTGCTTTCTTCTCTGCCACCTGAAAGCAAACTTCTTGACCAATGAGTTCCATGAATTGTCCCTAAAGATGCTAGTGTCTAGACTCCAATCTAGTAGCCACCCTGCCTAAGAAACACATACACACACACACACACACAAATGGTAGGTCGATTAAACAGAATTCTCATGAGACACACACACACACACACACACACACACACCCATCCATTTCCTGGCCAGGTGCCCAATCTGAGGCCCTTCCCACTCTTTTACTTTAAACAAAAGCAAAAATCCATGCACTCTACAGCCTGCCTCAGAGCACCCAGCAGGAAAGCCCGATTCCGGATAGTCGTGGACTTGCATAACCTGAGTTGAGGAAAATAGAATGCAGTATTAATGCAGAACAAAGAATTGATCCTAGAAGTGGAGAATACAACCCTTTACATTTCCCCCCATTACGGATGGACAAGGAATGGCCCAAAAGATGTGCCTCTCCAGGACAGCAGATGAAGTATCTTGGTGGAAGTGAATAAGCACCTGCACCCACATTTCTTTCCTATCCTCAAAATTTCACAAAGGGTTACAAGCACATATGAATCCAACACCAGGAGTAGGGCATCAGATACTCCCAGGTTGTATCCTCAAAGATGGCAGGGCAAAGTTAACTCTGATCTGTTCCCAAGTGGAGTAGAGAACAGCCACACACACAAGGGCTGTCCCACCAAACCCTGCCAACATAAGATAAAAAGAACTTAGGGAATAAAAACCCATACTATGAAAAAAACCAACTAGATTCCAAAACGGAGGTCGGGCCTAAATTATGGTAATACATTTTTCTCGAAGTTGAAAAGGCAAACTAGGGATCTGTTCTGAGGATTAGAATCAAGCAAAGCCAACCAGTAAGTAAATCTGTTTAACCAATGTTTAAGGAATTAAGGAAGACCTCTCAAGGCCCCTTCCCATGTTTCCCCTCGGCCAGAGTATGCCCCCTTGCAAAATCAGTTTACTTATAAAAGAATCACACTGCCCTGGGGCACAGGTTTGGCAAGTAAAGTCTACGGAGAAAGGGCTTTCATAAAATAAGCCTCCTTCCACATTAGAAAGGTGAGGATTTCCTATTTATAGACGTAAAACCGAGCCCAAAGGGGTAAAAAAACAAATTTGAGGGAGCTGGAAAGCGCAGAGTTGCCACGCCTAACCCACCTAACAATATTTAAAGGCCAAAGTGGTTCGGAAGGGGCCCCTTCTGTACCCACGAATAACTATACCCATGGGTACACCTATGCCACAAAATACTAAAAAGATCCCAGCCCATAAAACGTCCAAGGGCCCCGTTACCTTCCACTCGGGAGCATTCACCGGGAGGGTACACGAGGGTGGTCTTGGGGCATCAGCCCCCACCTTTTCCCTCTTCCCTCGCTCTGACCGACGTCTGGGGAAGTGAAGAGATCTTCCCCGCTCCGTGATCCGGCTTGTGCCCGTCACTTCCCAATTTCCGCTCGGTGCCAGGCCCAGGAGAACAGTGGAAGGCGCGCCCCCGGTACATTCGCAAGTCTCTCAGGCACGTCCCCGGCCCCGTAGCTCGGCCAACAGTGGCCGCCGCTCCCACCCAGAGCCGCTTCCTCCCATTTTGCGAATGGTGCCTAGACCGCAGGGGAGGAGGGTGGCTCTACCCATCGCGACCCAAACAACTCCGGCCTCGCTCCCGCGGACTTCCCCCCGCTCCCGCCCAACCGCGCAGTGACCGACCCTCGGGAAAGGGGCGTGGCTAACAAGCAGAGTGCCCCGCGCGCGTCCGCGCCCGCCCCCAAAACGCGCCTTCGCGTTACCTTTTACCACGTCACACTCGATGACGCGTCCGCGGCGCTCGAAAAGGCTACGCAATTCCTGGCTCGTGCACGCAGCCGACACATTGCCCACGAAAATCTTCCAAGTGTTAAGAGGCCGTGGGCGCGACATCTCCACCACGAGCGCGCGCCCAGGCCGCAGCTCGTGGCCGTGCAGGGCCTCGATGGCGCGCAGCGCGCCCGCGTTCTCGCGCATGTGCACGAACGCGAACTGTTTCATGACGGCGCAGCTCATGACTGTGCCGTAGGGCGCGAAGAGAGCTGCCAGCTCCTCCGGTGTCGTATCCGCCCCATCGACGTTTCCCACGAATATCTTCATTTTGCCGCTACAGCCGCTTTCCCGGAGAGCCAGGACCTCTCCTCAAGCGACAGGCGAGACGTCCGGCCAGCCGGCAGTCCTCCCCAGGAATGGCTGGCGACTGAGAACCCTGCCGCGCAGGCGCTCTGATATAGCCAATCAAGGTTCGCATCCCGCGCGTCTTGCAGCCAATCAGAGAGTGTAAGAGAGGATGCACACCGGCACAGCCAATCCCAGAGGGCCTGGCGCCCGTTCGTTAACGGAGGGGTGGGAGAGAGACGACGGCGCGCGACCAACCGCCACTGCCGGGGCGGGGGGTGAGGGGGGAGGTTTGGAGAGGTGGATACGCTCTAGGGCAGCGTCTGCAGTCCAGCGGCCTAGTCCTAGAGGCGGCCTCTGGCCCGGGTGGGGCTTGAGTCGGCAAGTCCTAAGGAAAAACTTGATTCAGTCGGAAGTCAGAGCGTCTCCCTTTCTGGCATGTTAGGCCAAACCCGCGACTGGAGGTGGCAGGAAGAATGTCCAAGGGAAGGCCAGGCCTGGCAGGAAACAAACAAACGCCTTCGATCAGCCAACGGCTCCGTAACTGCCGCCTCTGGGACTGTGCAGGGTGGTCTGAGGGTATCTGAGGGGCATCTGCCGGGGAGGAACCACATTCTGTGAGGTTGCTGAAGTTCTGGCAGACGCTGGAGATGTAAATAATAAGAGCAAGTCTCTGCCTTTATGGAATTTATCAACGAGAGTTAATGAGATGTAGCTCTCGGGTATGTTTGAATTTTTTCCACAATAAAAAGTTTAATAAACTAAAAAAAGTAGGTCAAAAGAAGGGTCCTTGAGGCAGTAAAAGTTGAGCCTTTAAAAAAACATAAAAGGAAAAATTTCAAAACCGACAGGTAATATGTAAGTAAAGATTTTGCATGGTAGGAAACATCAAAAACAAATACATATGACAAACTCAGGGAAATATTTGCCTACATACTCATTCTACAAATTTTATTGATCATGTACCATGTGGGCAGCACCAAGAATACAATAGTGAACAAAAAGTAACAAAATTCCCCACCTTGGAGCTCATATTATGGTGGGGAGACAGATTAACAAGTAATACATATAGCCTGTTGAATAGTGAGTGCTAAAGACTTGAAGTAACTCAGGGAGGAATCATTTCAGTCAGAAACTACAAGTCAAACTGTGTTAAGGAATTGCAAGAAGCTTATATGGCCGTAGGTGGGAAACTAAGTGAATAATAGAGCATAAGGATGGGGGTGGGGCAGTGACAACTTATAGACCACTGAAATGACTGGCTTTCACTCTTAGTGAGGCTGGAAGTCTATGGAGGGCACAGGGCAAGAGGGGTTTATCTAATGGGACTTTTCTTTCATTCTTTTGTAAGTATCATTATGGCTCCTCTTAAAATGGACAGAAACAAAGAGAAAACAGTTGTTTGCTCAGAAACTTTACCACTACTGGGAAAATACAGGAGATGATGGTGACGTGGATCAAGGTGGCCCAGTAGAATTCAGGGCAAGTGGTCAGATTTGATGGCAGAGCTGCGATTAGATGTGAGTTGTGAAACAGGAGTCAAAGATGACACCAAACAACTGGAAGCATTAACCAAGATGGGTAATATTGCAGGAGAAATAGATATTCTTTAGAAGACCAGAAATCCAGTTTTGGACATGGTAAGTTTAAGATGCCTCTAAGCCAACCAAGTGAAGATACCAGTGGCAATTAGATACGTATCTGCAGTTTAGGGCAAACATCTGGACTGAGAAGGATATAAATTTGTGAGTCTAAAGACCTAATATCTAGGCCTGGCCGATTTGGCTCAGCTGTTAGAGCTTCGACCTTTGAACTGAAGGGTCTTGGGTTTGAGTCCAGTCAAGGGCATGTGCCTGGGTTGCAGGTTCAATCTCAGCCCCAGTCAGGGTTGTGCAGGAGGCAACCAGTCAGTGTGTCTCTCTCACATCAGTGTTTCTCTCTGTCTCCCTCCCTCCCTCCTTCCTGAAAGGGTTAATAATATTTTAAAGGGTAAAGGCAAAAGCTCGCAAAAGGCATAAACTATGAAAAATATGTTGCTTGCATGATCTTTGGTTAGCCTTCTATCGAGTAAAGATTATTGGATTATCTGCAATGTAATGAATCACCCAGCAGACGAAGGATGTGATACCAGACCAGTCCAACTACAAAGTGGACAATGGACCAGGCAGAATACATCAGCAAGAACTGCCGGAAACTAGAAGTAGAATATAACCTACGCCCCAACTGTTATTCTGCGCTGACCCCTTTTTGGGCTTAGCCCACCTGCACCCAGGTACATGCAAGAAAATCATTTTGCTGTACATTGGCCTTGCGTTGTGGATGTGATCTCCCACCGGCTTAGACCTTTTACCTCCCTCCCTTCCACTCACTCTAAATATCAATAGAAAAATATCCTCAAGTGAGGGTTAACATAAATAAATAAAGCTAATGTCTATACTGTAAAAAAAAAAAAAAAAATGATGTGGCCACGAGCTAAGGAATGCCAGTGTCCACCAGACGCTGGAAGAGGCAAGTAATGAATTTTTCCCTAGAGCATCTGAAGACAGTGTAGCCCTGCTGACACCTTGATTTCAGGTCAGTGATACTAATTTGGGACTCCTGACCTCCAGATCTGTGAGAGAAGAAAGCTCTGTTGTTTTAAGCCACCCAATTTGATAGAGCAGCCACAGAAACTAATACAGTCATTAATTATGTTTTCCTAACAGCACAGATGAAATAGTAAAGGGAACCAAAGTTTTGCCACCCTGAAGCTGTCTTTTTGGCATATTGACTTTGAGCTGTCTACTAAGAAACAAGATTCAGAAAGAACCTTTTGACCCTCCCCTTTATTCATGCCCAAGAGATTCAGACCTGCTTCAGAAAGGAAATCTTAGGATGTTTGCCTTAGCCTAATTTGAATAAAGTATACTAAATAACACCCAACCAGTGTGGCTCAGTGGTTGAGTGTCAACCCATGCACCAAGAGGTTGCTGGTTCAATTTCCGGTCAGGGCACATGCTCAGTCCTGGGCCAAATCCCCAATAGGGGACATGCAGGAGGCGGCTATTCGATGTTCTCTCTCATCAATGTTTCTCTCTCTCCCTCTCCTTCCCCCTTCCTCTCACTCTAAAATCAATAGAGAGAAAAAAAAATTTTAAATATACTAAATAAGAGGGCTTTGGGGGAAAAAAATAAAAGGAAATAAAAAATAAATACAATTTTAAAACTAAATAAATAAATAAGAGGGTTTTCAGGCAGGGGCCTGCTAGCTAGGTACGCTGTGTCCCGTTGTTTCAGAGTTGCCTAGCAAGAAATTCCCTGGGGAGGGAGAGATAAACCACAGAACTTACATCTTACATGCATGTATGCATGACCAATGAACATAGACAACAAAGCTGGGGATGGGGTGGGGGAGAGGGGAGGAGGGTGTTGATGGGGGAAAAATGAGAAACATCTGTAACAAAAACTAATTAAAAAAAAAATTCCTGCCATGTATGATCTGCTCTTCCTCAAATACCTATAAATTGCCCATTCTCAGTTCTGAAATAGTTCTGAAGTCCAGAAGTCCAAAATTAGTAGCACTGGGCTGAAATCAAGGTGTCAGAGGGGTTTTGCTCCCTCTAGAGACTCTGAGGGAGAATCTGTTCCTTGCCTCTTCCAACTGCCTTCTGGTGGCTGCTGGCATTCCTGTGCCTATGGCTGCATCACTTCAGTCTTCAAGGTCAGCACCATCAAATCTCTCTGCTGTCTTCCCATTGCCAGATCTGTGTATGTGTGTCAGAATCCTTCTGCCTCCTCATAAGGATACGTGGTGTGCTTGCATTTAGTGTCCATCCAGATAATCCAGGATAATTTCATCTCAAGATCTTTAATCACATCTGCAAAGACCCTTTTTTCAAATAAATTAACATTGACAGCTTCCAAGGATTAGGACCTGATAACTTTGAGGCCATTATCAGCCTATCAAAAAAAAAAGACAGCCCTGGCTAGTATTGCTCAGGAGTTAGAGCCTTGGCCCACACACTGAGGGGTCGCAGGTTTGATTCTCCGTCAAGGGTACATGCCTCTGTTGCAGTTTGGTCCCCTGCCCTGGTTGGGGTCATGCGTGAGGCAACCAGTCAATGTGTCTCCCTCACATCAATGTTTCTCTCTCCCTCCCACTTTATCTGGAGATAAATGGGAGAATGTCCTTGGGTGAGGATTAAAAATAAACAAATAGATAGCAAACACTAATAGTCTTTTCAGTGTACTGATACCACTAATGTACATCATAAACATAGTGACAGTGATACCATTGTAATTAACCTAGTTATTAATAACAGGAAAGGAGCAAAAGGAAGGCCAAATATTATAGACATGCCATTTGTGTTGCTTTGCCAGAAGCTGCAGTTCAGTACTCCCCGGGAAGCCACTAGTCTATTCCCTGCAGATGTAGGGTAAGGGACTGAACAGGGGGGAGAATAGACATATGCCCAGTAAAGTCTGGATGACCTAGGGAAGGTACTTGCCTGTGAGTCACACCTGGGAACAGGTCACTGGCCAGAGTAGGCATGGCCACTGCAAGCATGGGAAGATTTGAGATATTTTTAAAATATGTTTTTACTGACTTTTTAGAGAGAGAGATTAACATCAATATGAGAGAGAAACATGGATCGGCTGCCTCCTGCATGCCCCCTACTAGGGATCGAACTAGCAACCCAGGCATGTGCCCTGACCGGGAACCGAATTGGGACTCTCAATCCATGGGACGATGTTCAAGCCACTGAGCCACACCAGCTGGGCTAGATTTGAGATATTTAATCCCCTAAACAAAGAAGTCCACTCTTTTGTGCTCTTGGCTCCGGGCACTCTTGGAACTCTTATTGCAGGGGGTACACTCTCTTGGCTCCCCTGCATTCGCCCAAGGCTTGTGGCCATGTAGACCCCACACAATAGTCTGATGGACTACAACTAGCCTAATGCTGTACTGGACCCAATTCCAACAAGGAACAGAAGCTCTGGACACTGGCTCTGCTTTTAGCTCTACTGAATCCCCAGCTGCACTTCTTTAAGGACTAGATTAAGGGAAATGGGATTTTGGAAACC